GGTGCTCAAGGACAAGGGGCAAAGGGAGCCTGCTGCTTCTCACAGGAGTGGGCTACCCCTCTGAGGCTCTCTGTCCTCTGGCTTAGCTGCTGCCCCCACAGTGAACTTCACGTGGTACACAGTGACCCTCATGCAGTACACAGTGACCTTCATGGAGAAGCAGGCCATCCTGCGATACACAAGCTGATACCCCCTGCTTGTAAGGACACAAAAGACTTTTAGAAATTGAAAGACACACCATGTTCTTGCCTAGGGACATTCAACGTGATAAAGATTCCAGATTTCCCTAAGTTAAATTTATAAATTGAATGTGATTATAATAAAATACCAGTAGGCTTTCTATAGGAGCCCTGGTGGTACAATGGTTAAGCACATGGCTGCTAACTGAAAGGTCAGTGGTTCGAAGCCACCAGCACGGGAGAAAAGGCCTAGCAATCTGTTCCCATAAAGAATACAGCCTAGAAAACCCTATGAGGCAGTTCTACTCTGTCACATAGGGTCACTATGAGTGGGAATTGACTCGACGGCACACAACAACAGGCTTTCTATGAGGATGGAAGAGGACGGGGTAATGTTTTGTTCTATTATCCTTATGGTCACCAACTTGACAGCAACCAACAGCAACAACAAAGCTTTCTATTTTTTTTTTCTTCCACCCTAGAACTAGGCAAGCTGATTCTAAAATGCATATGGGAAAATAAACAAGCAAAACATACATGTACTACCACATATATTGAACATCACTTATTTTGCCAGTAAAAAAGTGATTTCCAATATCGAATACCTTTTATGCTAGTTAACACTACCTTGCAGAAATGTTCGAAGCTTAGCATGACTGCTTCTGATGTCAAGATTCCAATTAGGGGCTCACTTCTGGGATATATGCAACCACCCGCAGGATGTGGATGAAATGTTGACCCAGACACGTGAGCACACAGACACACGTCAGGATTTATACTGAAGTATTTAGAAGTAAGTGGAAGAAAGGCCCGCCCATCTACTTCCATAAGATTAACCCAAACCTGTTGCCATCAAGTCGATTCCAGTGACACTATAGGACAGAATAGAACTGCCCCATAGGGTTTATAAGGAATGGCTGGTGGATTTGAACTGCTGACCTTTTGGTTAGCAGCTGAGCTGTTAACCACTGTGCCACCAGGGCTCCTCTGTCAGATTATAGCCATTGAAAATCCTGTGGAGGACAGTTCTACTCTGAAATGCATGGGGTCTCCATGAGTCAGAGTGGACTCAACAGCAGTGGGTTTGGTTTTGGGGTTTATATAGAAGTAGATCACAATAAATGATGGGGAAGAGACCATCCTCAGCAAAGAAAAGCAGGTAGGGTAGGTGTGATGGTTACGATTGTGTGTCAGCTTGGCTGGGCCATGATTCTCAGTGTTTTGACAGTTGTGTAATGTTGTGATCACTTCCCTGTTGAAATTTGATATGTGATCACCCCTGTGATGGAATCTGCTGAACAGTACTGGCTGAGGTGTGGCCTGAGGTGGCTCACTGCCCCCTCAGCCTTCATCTCTCCACTGTCTGCTGCCTGCTTCATTTCTGCTCAGTTTGCCAAGGTTTTCGGCTTGCTCTGGATCCTGGAGCTGCTTCTTGTCTGATCTCTGGTTCTTGGTACTTAAGCTAGCAGCTTACCTGATGATCTTGGGATTTTTTGATCTTCACAGCCTGTGAGCAAGAGTCCTGCTCCCTGACATGCCAATCTTGAGTTGGCCAGCCTCTGCGGCTGCGTGAATCAGGAGAGGCCTCTATCCTAATCCACGGACTTAGGATGTTCTAGCCTCTACAATCACGTGAGCTGTTTCCTTGATATAAATCTCTCTCCCTATGTATTTATACGCTTTACTGGTTTTGCTTCTTTAGAGAACGCAGCCTAAGACAGTAGGTGATGGCAGTTGTAGGGCCTGAGAAGGCAGTAACAGGCAATGAGACACAAATAAGAAGCCAGGGATTGCCCAGGAGCTCACAAGATGAAAAATCGCCTTTCATTCAAATGTCCCAGATCTGTGCTGCCCACTATAGTAGCCACTAGCACGCGTGGCTACTGAGCACTTGAAATACGGCTAGTGTGAGTGAAGAACTGAAATTATAATTAAAATTAAATTAAATTTTAATTTTAAAACAGATTCTCAGTCTAGCTATTAGACAAGTTTAATTATGCTTGGAACAACTTGGGTATGTGAATCTGCTTTCTTCAGCTGTAAATTTTATGAAATCTAAATACAGATCAAATATTTCTAATGAAAATTTAATGTCCGAATTGTCCCTTAAGTGTAATATACACACTGGATTTCAAAGACTTAGTATGAAAAGAAGAATATAAAATATCTCTTGAAGAATTTGTGTTAACGATTACATGTTAAAATGACAATATTTTGCATATACTGGGTTAAATAAAATGGGTTAAGAAAATTAATTTCACCTGCTTCTTTTTACTTTTGAGGGTGTGGTTACTGGAAAAATTTTGCATTACATATGTGGCTGGCATTATAGATTTCTGTTAGACAGCACTGCCCTAGATGAAGGTGACGCTTATGAGTTGTTGTTAGTTGCCTTCCAGTTGCGACCCCATGTGTGCAGAGTAGAACAGCTCCACGGGGTTTTCAAAGCTGGGACCTTTCGGAAGTGGATCGCCAGACCTATCTTCTGTGGTGTCTCTGGGCACTTTCAGCTACTAGTCAAACACTTAACTCTTGGTGCTACCCAGGGATTCCTGATGCTTATAAGAGAGGAAGATAGATGCACTAAGATGGTTGGCTTAGCGTTCATCTCTATTCCTATACTAGAGAACAGCAACCTCGACTACAGGTGGGACTATAGGTGACAGCTATTGAGATTTCATAATAACAAAAGCTCCAAAACTCTTTCTGGTTCTGGCCATTGCAGACTAGATAGGATCGGATTAATCCTACCATCAAAAATAGTTACAAAAGTTGGGTAGAAGTGAGGAAACAAACATTAGGAAGCATTGAAGAGCAACCAACGTAGACAGGCCCTGAGGAGCCATGGTCCTTGAGAGGGGAAGCACACAAGGTAAGCCCCATATCCACCCCAGCTTGCACTTGAGGACACTTTCCAGATTGCAACACAGGGAGTAAAACAAAGCAGAAAGTGGAAGTTTTACTTGGCTAAGGAGACAGAAGTTGGAATTTGAAGCTGCTCAAGCACCTGGAATTTGAAAGGTAAAATCCTAGAGAGAAAGAAACTGCAGAGAAGAGGCCCCAGATTCTGCAATCTGGTTTCCCTCAAGCCATTGGCTGATTCTTAACCGGTGCACGCACAAGGTAACGTCTCAAGAAAAAAACAAAAACAAAAACAGCAGCTGGGAGGCTAAAGGCCTGAGCAGAAATTTGAAGTCAGAAACTGATGTGAAAGCCCAGCCAAGGTGGAGGGGCTTGGTAAACACCCCTGGCTTCTGGGTGGGACACAAAAAGCCCACCTCAGGATTAAGGGCCACGGTCTATGACTAAGGATCGCACCCCAGGAGTATGGACTGTGACCTAGGAGTAACAGTGAGAGTGAAATAGACCAGGTCCTGTTGTCCTTCTCGTTAGCTGCTGTCAAGTTGGCCCTGGACTCCTGGGGACTCCACACACAACAGACTGAAATGCTGCCAGATCCTGGCCATTTCCATGATCGGTTTGGGATTGAACTGTTATGATCCGTAGGGTTTTCATTGGCTGATTTTCAGAAGTAGATATCCAGGGCTTTCTTCTGAGTAAGAGCACCCCGGATTAACTTAGGGCTGCCAACATGAGATGGTGGCTATTGTAAGGTCTGAGGCTGAAACTCCATTTAAAATCAAAAGTAACTTCTGCATCGAGAATGCAATCTGTCATTTCTGTAACTCTCCTTGTATAACCTGAGAAAATTACTTGGTAAACAATTTTAGAGAAGAATGTGATTTTGTTTGCTTAAAGATTTTGCTTGCTTAAGAATACACCCTGCTCAGGAAACAGAACCCAAAACAATTTTCAGGACAGGTGCTTCATGGATTGAATTGTGTTCCCAAAAAATATCTATCGACTTGGTTAGGTCATGATTGCCAGTATTGTGTGGTTGTCTACCATTTTGTCATCGGATGTGATCTCCCTATGTGTTGTAAATTCTATCACTATGATGTAATAAGATGGATTATTGGCAGCTATACTGATGAGATCTACAAGATTAGATAGTGTCTTAAGTCAATCTCTTTTGAGATGTAAAAGAGAGAAGTGAGCAGAGAGATAGAGGGACCTCATACCACAAAGAAAGCAGTGCCGGGAGCAGAGTGCATCCTTTGGACTTGAGGTTCCTGTGCTGAGATGCTCCCTGACCGAGGGAAGACTGATGACAAGGACCTTCCTTCACAGATGACAAGAGAGAAAGCCTTCCCCTGGAACTGGCTGAATTCAGACTTCTCTTCTACTGGACTGTGAGAGAACAAACTTCTCTTTGTTAAAGCCATCCACTTCTCTTATAGCAGCACTAGATGACTAAGACAGATGCTTACGCAAGATAAACCTTAGAATTACACATGTCCTCCCTGCAGTCACACAAGGAGGGTCTCATGATCGTTTCAAGGCCAAGTGTCCCCGATTTAATGATTACTTTGTAACTTTTAAAAACAGTTTTAGAAACCTACGTAATCTCCTACCAATCAGATGTACCCATACCCAGTTTTGTAACCATTACTTAAATGTCAACCAGTCACTGAATTTTTACTGAAGTTCCTTGTATTTTCTTATAAAAACTCCCTGAAATGTCTCCTCCTTGGATCACTTAGTTCATAATCCTCTGGACCTTGTGATTCCCAATTTTCAAATTGCCTTGTCTCTCAATAAAAGCTCTTTACTTCCAATTTCAACCAAACTCTGCTGTTTTTGCTTAGGACACTTCACAGTCTGTCTTAGTCTGGAAGCTCTGCTGAAACCTATTCAGCATCAGAGCAACACTCAAGCCTCCACTGACAGATGGGTGGTGGCTGTGCATGAGGTGTGAGGTGCATTGGCCGGGAATCAAACCCAGGTCTCCTGCGTGAAAGGTGAGAATTCTACCACTGAACCACCAATGCCTCAGACTAGATTCTAACAACAGCTAAAACCAAGCTTCCACAGGATTCTTCTTGACACACAAATCATCCAGCCTTCTGTACTCATTCCTCTGCAAGGACAGAGACTCTGTCCTGCAGGGGGCAGCCTCGGCCCTGGAAGACCTCTCTCAGCACCTAGACACTCCACCACCTGGCCCTGGTTCTTGCCCCCACTGCCCTGCAAAGCTATTCCTGTGCAGATTTCCTGCTGTTATAGTGGTGATATCTGGTAGGACAAGTCCTCACTCACTATAAATTTTTCATAACCTGTTTATCAGTTCTTGGTCATTTATTCTTTCATGTAAGTTGAAAAACATACATTCTTTTGTTTTTAGTTTCTGAAACAGTGTGTCTTTTACCATCAGATGAACTAAGCTCAAACATTAATACAAATGAAGAGGGAAAAGACAAATGAATAAAGTGGGAAACACTGTTTTTCACTTTGAAGACATTCACACCAAATGGCGTGCAGAGAGCCCACTTTTCAGCGCAGATGTGACACGTTTGTTCCTTCACACATTCCTTCATGTGTCTCAGCACATACTGTAAAAATGGTGTGGGGGCAGTGTCTGACCTCCTCCAACTTCACAAAGGGGAAGGAGAACGAAGATCAACAGTGAAAGGCTGACTCCCAGGAGGTGGAGGCCAGGCAAGCCTCCTCTCTGCACTATCTTTGCCAATTCTGACACCAACCTTCCCTCCCATGGCACTCTCTACTTTTCTGCTGGGTTCAATAATTCATTGCAATGGCCACACAGAACTCATAGACCATACTCACTATTATGGAGTTTATTAGAGAAGTATCAGGTTACATTTCAGGCTCAGGAACACTCAAGGATACAGTTCTTCCATCAGCACAGCCTCTTCCCAGCCGTGCTTGCAGGCAGACCTCTCCCTGGCCCTAGGCCTCTGTCCAAAGGCACTCAGCTTTCTCTCTCCATGGGCTGTGAAGCCTACCATGCCGTCTCCTGCTGCTGGTCTCTCCTTCCAGGCTCTCTTTCCTTGGTGGTGGTGGGCTCTTCTCTTTCCCACATCTGGGGTGGCTCACCTCAAGCCCAGCAGAATGGCAAAACTGACCAATCCCTTTGGTGGGCCACGATTACCATATCTGCACATTCCCACCCAATCACTTGGGTGGAAGTTACAAGACCATGGATAGAAAGGCCACATAAAAGTGATTCATCACACTGCACACGCAGACTGTCTCTCAGTGCATGCTGACAGCCCAGGACTCTTCCTAAGGTTAGAAGCAGGGGCGGGGTGAGTGGGAAATGGATTCTGCCCTCAGACACTCATTGTTATGGGTTGAGTTGTGTCTCCTCAAAATATATTCAACTCCTAATCCCTCATACCTGTGAATGTGATCTTGTTAAGAAATAAGGTCTTGGGAGATGTTATCAGTTAATAGGAGGCCATACTGGAGTAGGTGGGTCCTAGTCCAATATGAGTGCTGTCGTTATAGAAGAAGAGAGAGAGATAAACACAGGGAAGATGGCTATGTGAATATGGCGGCAGTGATTTGGAGCGATGCATCTACAAGCCAAGGGATGCCAAGGACCATAGGCTGTCACCAGAAGCTAGAAGAGAGACATGGAACAGATTCTCCCTCCAATCCTCAGAAGGCATCGATATGGCCAATACCCTGATTTTGGATTACTAGCCTCCAGAAATGTGAGACAATAAATTTCTGTTCTTATAAGCCACCGGATTGGTGGTACTTTGTTACAACTGTCCTGGGAAGTGAATGGACTCAGGGTTGGCTGGGGAAGTCAGAGGGGTCAGAGTAGTAGAACTAGATGGACTATAACCGTCAGTTGCCATTGAGTTGATTCCAACTCACGGAGATCCCATGTGTGTCAGAGTAGAACTGTGTTCCATACGGTTTTCAGTGGCTGATTTTTTCATCAGGACTCAAACTTCCAACCTTCCAGTTAGCAGCTGAGCTTGTTAACCATTTGCACCACCCCGAGACTCCCTAGATAGAATGTGACAGGTGCTAAACAGAAGAACAACCAACAGTAGAGGAAAGACATTCTCACCAGAATGATGAAAACAAACAGCCCAGAGTCACTGGCACTGAAGTAGGGGCTTGAAAGATAGATACAATGTCATAAGCAGCTAAGAAAGAGCAGAGGGAATTTGGGAGTAAAAGTCTAGTAGTTGGAGAGCAAAACTGTTTCAGAATCCATCCACAGACTTCCACCTCTGGTCCTTTAGAAAAAGGGTATCCCAGGGGGTTTGATTGTACAGCCCTATCAATAAAAAACATTAAGCATGCGCTCCAAATGTGTGAATATACTTATTTATTTATTTGTTATATAACTATAAACAATTCTACTAATATGTTTATTATAAAAAATGCTACAGTAAATTCTAAAGAAAATAATGAAAGAAAAAAAATTAAATGGAATTTTAAAGAGATCTCCTCTACCTTAGTGGGTGGTCCTGCCTCATCCCTCAGATGCTGCCCCCTGCTGTGGAGACCACCGATTTAGAACCCAAGTTTCAGCCTGATGCTTTTGACGGCAAATGCCCCCACAGACTGATGTCAGAGGGTCTGTGCAAAATTCCCTGCGAAAAGGGCCCCCAGGTTTCATAAAAAATTTTTTTAAAATTGTGCTTTAGGTGAAAGTTTACAGAGTACATTAGTTTCTCATTTCAAAAATTTATACACAAATTGTTTGGTGACATTGGTTGCAGTCCCCGCAGCATGGCAGCACTTTTCCCCTTTCCGCTCCAGTTTCCGTGTTTCTATTTTGTCCAGTTTTCCGGTCCCTTCCTGCCTTTTGACTTTGCTTCTGGGCAGGTGTTGTCCATTTGATCTCATAAAGTTGATTGATCTACGAAATACGTTCTTCAGGTGTGTTATTGTTTGTTTTATAGGCCTGTCTACTCTTCAAATGAAAGGTGAACTTTACGAGTGGCTTCAGTTTTGAGTTAGAAGGGTGTCCAGGGGCCATAGTCTCAGGAGTTCCTCCACTCTCTGTTAGACTAGTAAGTCTGGTCTTTTTTGGGAATTTGAATTTTGACGTACATTTTTTTCTCACTCTGTCTGGGACCCTCTATTATGATCTCTGTCAGAGTGGTCGGTGGTGGTAGCTGGGCACCATCTAGTTCTTCTGGGCTCAGGCTGGTGGAGGCTGTGGTTCATATGGTTCATTAGTTCTTTGGACTAATATTTTCCTTGTGTTTTTGGTTTTCTTCATTCTCCTTTGCTCCAAACATGATGGGACCAATAGATGTATCTTAGATGGCTGCTGGCAAATTCTTAAGACCCCAGACACTACTCACCAAAGTAGGATGTAGAACATTTTCTTCATGAACTGTTATGCCAGTTGACCTAGATGTCCCTGAGACCATGGTCTTCAGTCCTCAGCCCCAGTAACTCAGTCCCTCAAGGTGTTTAGATGTGTCTAGTAAGCTTCTGTGACTGTGCTCCCTTTGTGCTCTATTATATATACAAATATACGTGCTGTACATACAAGTATGCATGTAAAAATATCCACAGCCCAACCTATATATGTATGTGGGTATACTCCTATATATCCTCTTTCTTCTATTCAGCATATGTATCTGCCTATGTACTTGCTTGTAAGTTATGACTTGTTTTTACTTGTAATAGGGTTGTATATGCTATAGTATTTACTGTGGTTGCCTTTTTTTTTTTTTTCTTTCTCTTTTCTTTTTTTGTGTTCCCCTAAGTGTCTTCCTTTGCCTTGGGCAAGTTGTGCTGACTTCCGCTGTATTGTGTATTGTCTTTCCCTTCCCTAAAGTTAACACTTGTCTACTAGCTAGTTAGTAACTTCCCTTCCCCACTCTTCCCCTCCCTCACAACCATCAAAGATTGCTTCTTTCTGTGTGTAAACCTTTTCTTTGGGTTTTTATAATAGTGGTCTCATACAATATTTGTCCTTTTGTGATTGACTTATTTCACTCAGCATGATGCTCTCCACATTCACCCATATTGTGAGATGTTTTGCAGATTCGTCATTGTTCTTTATTGCTGCATGGTGTTCCATTGTGTGCATGTACCATAATTTGTTTCTCCACCATCTGTTGATAGTCACTTAAGTTGTTTCCATCTTTTTGCTATTGTGAATACTGCTGCAATGAGCATGAGTATGCATATGTCTATTTGTGTGACAGCTCTTATTTCTCTAGGATATATTCCTAGGAGTGGGTTGCTGGATCATATGGTATTTCTATTTCTAGCTTTTTAAGGAAGCGTCATATTGTTTTCCATAGTGGTTGTACCATTTTACATTCCCACAAACCGTGTATCAGAGTTCCAATCTTCCCACAGCCTTGTCAGCATTTATTGTTGTCTGAATTTTTGATCAGTGTCATTCTTGCAGGGGTAAGATGGTATCTCATCATGGTTTTGATTTGCATTTCTCTAATGGCTAATGATCACAAGCATCTTTTCATGTATTTGTTGACCATCTGAATGTCCTCTTTGGTGAAGTGTCTGTTCATGTCCTTTGCCCATTTTGTGATTGGGTAGCTTGTCTTTTTATTGTTGAGTTGTTGAAGTTTTCTGTATATTTTAGAGGTTAAACCTTTATCAGATATGTCATTGCCAAAGATTTTTTCCCAGTCTGTAGGTTCTCTTTTTACTTTCTTGGTACAGTCTTCTGATGAGCCTAAATATTTAATTTTTAGGAGGTCCCAGCTATCTAGTTTATCTTCTGGAGTTTGTGCATTTTTATTTATGCTTGATATTCTATTTATGCCATAAATCAGGGCCCTCAGCATTGTCCCTATGTTTTCTTTCATGAACTTTATAGTTTTAGGTTTTACATTTAGGTCTTTGATCCATTTTGAGTTAGTTTTTGTGTATGGGGTGACGTGTAGATCCTGTTTCATTTTTCTGCAAATGGATATCCAGTTTTGCCAGCACCATTTGTTGAAGAGAGATTTTATAAACATTTAAAACTCAGTTCTCTAGAGAATGAATGAAATTGCAATTTTTTTTAATTGAGGAGAAATTTATATAACATAAAATTTCAACCATTTAAAAGCGAACAATTCAGTGGCATTTAGTACGGTCACAGAGTTGTGCAACCACCACCTTCACCTAGTTCCAAAACATTTTCATCACCTCCTAAGGAAATCCCGTGCAGATTAAGCAGTTGCTCCCCATTCCCCACTTCCTATAGTCCCAGGCAACCACCAATCTGCATTCTGTCTCTATTGATTTACCTATTCTGGATATTTCATATAATTGCAATCATACAATACACAATATACGGCCTTTTGTGTCTGGCCTCTTTCACTTAGCATACTGTGTTTGAGATTCATACAGTGGTTATTATAACAATCACCACCACAGCAATGAAAATGAAACAACAATACCAATTAATTAAAAACTTCCTATACATGGGATTCTGGCATGTGTAGGAATAGAAACCCTCCCTTAAGGGAGAGAAATGGACTCTCATCTCCACCTGGTAACTAGTGTTTGCTCTTGAGCTCCTAGAAGCAAGGAGATTCGTAACTTGTGGAGGCCCAGAAAACCAGGATGACCTGGATAATTCTTTTCCTTCCTGTAGTCCAGCTTCCCCTACCACTGTATCCTCTGAGGTGCCTCTGTTTGTGGGAGTAGGCATTTGTGTGGCTATCCTGTGCATAGGAGAAGGTATTGGTGGCATCTGTCGGATTGGAAATCTTGGAGCAGTTGATGGTCTTGAGATGTTGCAGGCTTTGGGAGCACTGGCAGCTTTGGGAGAGTTAGGGAGTTTGGGGTAAATTGTTGGCCCAAGAAACTTGTCCACTTTGGGGGGTGGTTGTGAGCAGGAGAGATTGATGGTTGTAGCAGTGATCTTGGGCTCCTTGGCATCCTTAGAAAGGACAGGGAGTGGTGGAGGCACTGGCGACTGTAGGCCGGGGTCTAGCCTACCCTGAGCACAAAACCCCTGCAGACATGCCTCACAGTTGTCACTGTCATGTGGTCCTTCGAGAGAGAAGTCCTTGATGGTAGGAATTTCCTCTACTGGCTTAAATCCTTCTCTGTAGCATTTCTTCAGAATTCGGAGCACTAGGTTGTTCAGGATCCTTGAGATGTTCTCTTGTGTGAACTGTGGAACCTCAAAGGGAGGCTGGGAGCACTTCTGACACCTCTGGGCAAAGACCCTCATCTTCACCTGGCCCTTGGACTCTTCCTTGCTCCAGTGCATGTGGAAGAAGACCTGAACTTGAGCTGAGGCCCAGCTGCGAGAGCAAGAGGAGCACTGAAACCTGTGGAGGCAGAAGACAAGATCCTCAGCAGGGCTCAATAGGGTCAGAAGTCCCAGCTGCTGCCAGAGGGAGGAAGGTGCTACAACAACACCGAGACATCACTTAATTAGGGTCATGGGTTAGTGGTGGAAGAAATTACTGAGCCCCTCATTCCTATCTCCATTCTGCCACCAATACACTAGATGACCCACAGGTGTCTACTATGAAAATAGCAAGTCACAAGCATGTCAGAGCTGGACAGATCCTGGACATCTCCTACAGCCAACACGGTCATTGTAGAGCTGAGGTCCATGCTGGGAACTCGGCATGTCTAGGACCCAGTGAGTGTGAAAGACAGAGACAGGGCTAGAACTCTGTCTCCTGACTCCAGACCAAGGCTGCTTCACATTTGGATTTAAATGGGTCAAACAAACTCTGCAAATGCCATGTCAGCCATTAAATCAGCTCCCTTGAACCCTGACCTGAAATCCACAAATGGATGCAAGTGGATGTGGGGAAGTTACAGACCCACAGATCAGGGAGAACGCTGAAAGGCCCAGGTCCCAGGAAAAAAGTAGTGCCTTGTCTTGGTTGCTCAGGGCCCCTGATTTTCCAGTATTACAGGGAGATCACAGCGTCCAGCTTTCTCTCCTTTTGCTCCCCTCCAACCCAGCTCCTTTGCTCAAGGTTGCCTTGGAAACTTCTCATTCTGAGTGCTCCTGGCCTCAGCAGGGAAGGCAACAATACTCTGAGCTAACAGATTCGAACAAATATCCGTAAGGACAGGTAGAGAAAGGAGAAGAAGGCAGGGGAACACATGGCTGCATCCAGAAGAGGCATTGTGGGAAAGGCAGGCTTTTGCATTACAACAGAGAGTTTACCGCTGACCAAATTATCCATGTACTCCCTCACACGTTCCAGCCCCTTGCAGTTAGGTTAGGACCGTGTGACTAGCTGGCCAATGGGACATGGGCAGAAATGATGTATGCTACTTCCAGTTCTGGCCACAGAAACCTTTGTAAGACCCTCCAGCTCTCTCTTCATAGGTGCCCTTGGAAGCCATGTGTTAGGTTAAACCACTCATATTCCCCAGTTTGTTACCACAGCCTAACCTAGCCTTGCCAAGCTTAGTACAGGGACACCCCGGAGTCTGGGATGGTGAACCAGAGGGAGCTGGGGAGAATGAGTTAGTCAATATTGTTTCACTCCTATATCTTGATTCTAGCACCACCTTACAGGGAGAATGTAAGAATGAAATGGGAAGACGCCAAGAAGTCGTGACGGCTGTAGTACAATCTTGCTGGAGGTGCTTAGAGGGTCGGCAGTGGACAGGGGCCTGGGCCTTGTTCTCCTGTGGGTCAGTTCACTGCCCTTCCCTGGGTCATGCTGCTCTGCTCCTGGTCCAGCCCAGAGATCAAAGTTCTCACAGATAAAGTGGAATGAGTCTTTGCTCAGATGCTCCTGATGCCAGCTCCTGGCCTGGTGTACCCATTGCTCAGCCCTTCTCCTGGGGAGGGGGCAGCGGGCAGGCCGGGAGCACCTGCCCCGGGTCCTGGGGTACGTCCCAGGACTCCCGCTCTGTGTGCAACAGAGTTAAACTTTGGATAACCTCTTAGAGTCCTTCTGTTTTAAGAAGTTTCCATTGCTCAGTGTAGTGAAGGGAAAGATTGCTGTGTGTTGTTTTGCTCAGCATTCCCCTGCTCCCCTGACCTGTCCCTGGAGGGGGTGTCTGGAGTGCTTGGTATGGGGGTCCTCTCCCTCATGGGCTCCATGGTGGGCCTGTGGGTCTCCCAAAGCTGGGAGCATTGTCCCAAGCCTTGTCCACTCGGCACTTCTGAGGTTGAGTGAAATATCCGCCATTCCTCCCCTTCTCTTTTCCTCGCTGCTCCCCGCCCCCACTCCTCACAGCCTGATTTCTCTGTATTCAGGCACTTGTCCACACCTGAGCCCCTGCCTGCTAGAGTTTTGGAGTTCATTGTAACAGGAAACAAAACAAAATTTTATTGAAGCTAAAACTTCTTGAACAATGGGCACCGTACTTCCTATAATCTTTAATTTATAAGTATAGAATGCAGTAAAAAAAGTAACGAGTATATCAAAATCAAAACCAAACCAGTTGCCATTGAGCCTGTTCTGAGGCATGGCAACCCCATGCGTGTTGGAGTAGAACTGTGTTCCACAGTGTTTTCAATGGCTGATTTTTCAGAAGTAGATTGCCAGGCCTTTCTTCCAATGCACCAGCTGGAACCACCAACCTTTGGTTAGCACCTGAGTGCATTAAACAAGTATACAGGTAAGAAATAAGCAAGAATTTCCTGGGATCCAGCCCAATTACATTCCCCACTCGCCTGGCAAAGGTCCACTGCTGGTATTGTGCCCGCCCTGGCTTCAGGACGTTGGGAAGAAGGCCCTTGTCTAGTGTCAGGGTCCAAGTGTGCCACGGCTTCACCTCCTGCATTAACTCCTGGAACACTTGCTTCCACACCTCCACGTCCTCAACCATCTCTGCACTCTGGTGTGCCTTGGTGGGCCAGGGTCTCCCAGGCCCTGACGGGTTCGCAGCAGGAGACGAGGTCCCCACTTCAGAGGGCCAGGGCTCAAACCTGCACTCCCTCTGTGCGCCAGAATCAGCCTGTGGACCAGGTCTTTGCCCTGATGACAGAGGTCAGTTCCAAGTTTGGAGAACAGCACTAGGCTCCACAAGGAGTTTCGAAAGACATGGAATGCATGATTTCATCCATCAAAACATTCCCAGAAAAGCCGGTAATAGGGAACCCAAGGCCGAGAAGGGAGAGTGTTGACAGGTCATGGGGTTGTTAACCAATGTCATAAAACAATATGTGTACTAACTGTTTAATGAGAAACTAAAGTACAACTAAAGTACAGTTTAAAAAAAAACAAAAAACCATTCCTGGATGAGGGCTCTGACTTATCAGGAGGGGTGGGTTTCAGTCTGCTGTGTTTATTTATCTTCAGCCTGGAGCACAGCCTTTTCCGCCCAAGCCCCTGCAAATGGTGGGGGAGGCTGCAGCTGCCTTTTCTAGTTTTAACCTTTGAAAATCCCTGTCCACTGGGCTGCTGTGCTCATGATACTGTGCTCATGATGGGGGAGGAGAGACACAGAGAGGAAGGGCACGTCCAGGGTAAGGCTTACCCGGGGTCCTGCCTCCTGCCTGCTGCTTTTCCTTCCCAGCCCAGGCCCTGCTCTCTGTGTGACCGTATTCCACAGACTCTGTGCTGCCGAAGCCCGTGACTGTCAGTGGTGTGGAAATAGGCAAAAACACCCAAAGAAGGACCAACAAAGGCTATTTATTCAGGACTTGCGATAGCAAGGGAGTCAGCCCCCTTCACTTTGTTTGTAGTGAGAAGAGGGAAGGGTTCAGGTGTGCCCTGATTGGAGACTATTGGCCTGGGGAAGCTGGAGGTGGGCTGCCTAGAAGTGGGGCGCCCTATGTGATTGGTTACCCATCCCACACGTTGCCATTGAGTCGATTCCAACTCATAGCAACCCTGTAGGACAAAGTAGAGCTGTCCCATAGGGTTTCCAAGGCTGTAATCTTTATGGAAGCAGGCTGCCACATCTTTCTACCATGGAGCAGCTGGTGGATTCAAACCACCGACCTTTCAGTTAGCAGCTGAGTGCTTAACCACTGCGCCACTTGGGTTCCTTATATGATTGCTTGGGGGACATATTTGGCTTTCTCTGGTAGGTCCTAAGTTGGAAGCGGGGACAAAAATCAAGGAAGCTGTCAGTTATTAATCAAGCCCAGGCTATTTTGGGCCCTTTGTTACAGAGATCGTTGTTTGGCTTCCCGGACTGGATGTTCCAGAGAGCGGTTTGATATCTGGGATAGATGCCGCAGATAGTGGGTTGAAGTTCTAGTTTTGCATGGTCTGGCCATTGCCTGTTCATTTAGTCTCTCATGAGAGAACGGAGATCCCAAACCCAATCTTCCAACCATGAGACCCAAAGCTGATCTAGTCAGTGTGTTCCTGGGAGACGAGGCTACAAGGTCCCCCTGTGGGTGAGAGGCCACTGGCTACTGGCGAACCCGGAGCCACGGCCCTCCTGAGCAGCGCTCCAGCCTCTCCTACTTCCCCCAGGAGAGACTTGAGAAGGAACAAGAGAGGAGCCGGGGGTGAGCTATGGGGCAAAGTACTGAAGAGGGCCACACCCCAGGGCCTGTGGATGGGATTCTCGGGGTCTGCATCACAAGGGCCTGGCCACAGACTCCTTGATTCCCTCCTGAGAGGAAAGCCTCGCCCTCAGCGGGTCCTTCTCTGGCCTGCCCAGGGCATCGTGAGGAGGCTCTGAGAGTCTCCAGGGGCTCCTCTGTGCTCCAGCCCTGCCTCAGTCCTGGCCCCTGGCCCCCTTCCGCTTCTGCCCTAACTACTCTCCACACTGCAGCCAGCAGGTCTCCCCAGTGGTGGAAATCTTCACCTCACAGTACTTCTGAGCATGGCTTCCGTCTCCTCTCGGTCCAGCCCCTCCCTTCCGGCCAGCGTCAGCCCTGCCATGCACATCTTCCCCCAAGTCCATAGCAGCTCTGTACCCTGAACCTCTTCCCCATGCCATCCTCTGAGCATTCTTCTCCTCCCGAGCCCTGTGCCTTAGTACCCATGTCCGCTCCTCCCAGGACACCAGCTTTCCCTCCCTCACATGGCCCCTGCTCACCCTTCGGATTCCAAGTGCATGTCCTGTATCCCACCCCCACCCTGATTACTCCTGTAATCAGCCTTCTAACTGCTGTGGGAGAAAGAAATCTCAGCAAGCATCCTCTCTCCCTCCAAGCCAAAAAAAAAAAAAACCCCAAACCAATCATCCTTGAGTTGATCCAACTTATGGTGACTCCACGTGTATCAGAGCAGAACTGTGCTCTATGGAATTCTCAATGCTGATTTTTCGGAAGTAGATTGCCAGGCCTTTCTTCCAAGGCACCTCTGGGTGCACTCAGGCCTTCACTCTTTCAGTGAGCAGAAGAGCAAGTTAACTGTTCGCACCAGCCAGGGCTCCCTCACTCCCCTACAGCTGAACGAATGTAAACATTCTGTGCGTGGAGCTAGTTCAGGGAGTGGGGAACAGGGAAGGCGCAAACAAAGAACCCGTCTGACTTTCCCATCTGGTGTGAAATCTTGTGTGAGAATGTTAAACCCCATTCTGTTTCACAAAACCACCCTCGACAGTGTTTGTGCAGGAAAATGTTTTTTTTCTTTTTTAATAATATTTTATTACGTTTTTGGTAAAGGTTTACACAGCAAATTAGGTTCCCATTTAACAATTACTACACACATTGTCCAGAGACATTGGTTACATTTTTCACAATGTGTTAACATTCTTAACAATTCCTTTCTGGATGTTTCGCTTCCAGTGATCTGGTTTCCCGGCCCCTTACTTTGCTTTAGAATGATCGTTGACCATTTGGTCTTATATCCCATTGCCGTTGAGTCGATTCTGACTTATAGTAAACCTATAGAACAGACTATAAAGATGATTTTTTAAAGGTGCGCAGTACTCGCTGGTAATATTCTTTGTTCTATGAGTCAATCTGTTGTTTAGCTAAAAGGTTATTATTTACTACCCGGGGGATGGTTTTGGGTCAAAGGTTGTGAAGTATCTCAGGGGGATAGTCTAGGGGACTCCTTTTGTCTCTATGTGTCCAATAAGTCTGGACTTTTTAAAAACTGAGCTCTGTTCCACATTATTTCTCCCCTTATATCAGGATCCATCTATTGTGGTCCTGATTAGAATGGTCGGTGGTGGTAGCTGGGCACCATCTAGTTCTGGTCTCAGGGTAGATGAGGCTGTGGTTCATGTAGATTATTAGTCCTGTAGACTAGTTTCTTCTTTCAGTCTTTGGTTTCTTTCTTTCTCTTTTGCTCCAGACGAGATGAGACCGATAATTGTAGCTTAGATAGCTGCTTGCAAGCTTTTAAGACTACAGACGCTGCTTAGCAAACTAGGATGTAGAACTTAAACTTTGCGAACTATATTATGCCAATTGACTGAGTTGTCCCATGAGACTCTGGTTCTAGGGCTTCAAACCCAGAAAATCAATCCCACGAGGTGTTTGTTTATGTCTAAGAAGTATCCGTCACTGTGCCCCAACGTGCTTTATTATATATATGAATATACATGCATGTTGTGCAGGGAAATCTTGAAAGATGCCCAGATGGCTGCATGTTTCTGTCTCCGATAGAAGTTACTCTTGCTCTGGTAAGAATATTCTAATGGAGAAAACTTGGCATTCTTAAATGGCATAAATACTTGAAAACAAGTATTTAAGAGTGGGAGAAATTTTGTCACATTTAAATAAACATAGGCTAAATGTCTCCCCCTAACTATCAAAAATGTGTTATTTACTCGATTTTCCAGAGAATTCTGCATCTCAGGGACGGCCCTCATCTGAGTCTTGTTGGTAAGATCTCCATAATTAGTTCACATAGGTTAAAGCTGTTACTCACAGGTAACAGCAATTCAAGAATGTATTCCCTTTTGTCCTTCCAGTGATTTGCCCCCTCTCTCATCTTTTTATAGAGAGAGCTACTCTCACCTCCATTACGCAGATTTTGTCTAGAAAGTTGCTGACCGCTAGTGGAGAAGGGCTTGGAGAGCGTCCCCAGGCCCTCTGCTATTCTCAGCCTTGCATCCCTGTGGTCTCTGTCTCCGAGCTCAAAGTCCACAGATACACTCTTCAACCAGCCAGACTCCTAAGACAGTGGTTAGGAACTGCCGGAAGGGCTCAGGTGTCCCCCTCACTTTGGCTAGAATGGATAGAATCCACAGAGAATTGTAAATCTAGCCATTTTCAGACTACAATATCTTTTCATTCCAGTGTCCCTTGGCGAATGTATTCCAGGAAGTCCACTCCATCCCATCTCAGTGCTTTTCAAGTCCTGTGTCAAAGGTGGTCTGGCCTCTTCTGGAGGTCCCTGTTATCCCCTTCCCCTGCAGTGCTCCTGGGCCTCTCCCCCAAGAGCTGAGGGTCTGCAGTCTGCATCAACCCCACT